GTGGATAATCCGGATTAGGGCGATATCGGCTGCTAATTGGAGTAGTGCAGATACCACTATCTTTCAGCGTCTTCTCATCGTGCTCTCCATCCATGATGACTGCAGACTCTTTGAAAAGTTCCTCCAGATTCCTCGATGGATTCGACAATCCCGCCTCGTGAAACTCATCAGTAGTGAATGAGTAGCATCCTGCATCAGCAGACGGTGGCTGTGACAAAATCATAACATCACCAGTATTTAGGTTATCTCTCTCATTAACGTTACCGTTGCTGCTGTCATTATGAAGTTTCTCGAAATCATTGCTCATGTCAGTATTGTTATCATTATCGTTATGATCATTTTCAACTTCCAATAACGGATACCGCCTCGATTTTGGTATTATTTTGGCATATAATGATTCTGAAATCGGAGTTTCCAAGTTCTCCATAGTCGATTCTGTCGCGACTTGTGAAATTCTCTTTTCAGCTTCCACCGCTGAGGCATCATTGCAGCTATTGAGAATAAGTGCTGGAATTCTTGCCGCATTTTCCAAGTAGTGACCACTACTAGTGCCTTGAGCCACAACAGTACTATCTCCTTTTCCGATATGCAAACTTTCTCGCTTCCTTCTGTCCATCGGCTCCAATTTGCAACTTTTTGTCATCAATTCCTGAGCAAACCCGACTTCTCGATTACCATCGCCATAATCTGCTAAGCTATCATCCATGCCGTATTCATGATGAAGGGATCGAGAATCTGCATCATGACGGGACTTCCACTTTGAAAGATAATCCGCATACTGATGAAGATAATGAAATTTAACTGGATCTGTGAATGACCGTTTGGGTTGCGTTTTCAATGGCACACACGTCACAACATCTTGTTTCTGTTTCATCAAATCTGATGAAGACGGAATCTGACCATTCTCAGCTACTATTACTGAACCAGAATCCATTCCAGAATGCTCCAGCTCACCTCCACCACCACTCTTCTGCTTTCTACGATGATGATGGCGACTCTGCAGCAGAGGAGTCTCTTCTATCTTCGAATCAGCATTAGCATTAGTGTTGTTCATCAGGAGACG